ATTATTTTTAATATAGTGATTAGTGTAAAATAATAATTTTTGTATTAATATCGTTATTTATAATTACACTAAAATACTAAAACTCTAATACTCTAGTTTTAGATTGACTTTCATTAGAATAATGAGAAAATTAAATTTATTATTTTAGAAGCGACGTAGCTTAGTTGTTAGTGCTTTGAACTGCAACTGCAAGGGTTCTAGGTTCAATTCTCCCTATGGGTTAATTTTATTTATATTACGACTAAAAATAAATTTTATTTTCTGTAATTTCAACTTTTCATTTGTCAGTTAATTCTTAATTTAACAAAATAAATTTATTACTGCAGCAATAATTAGAAAGCGCTGCATAAATCATTTATTTTTTTGGGTTTTCTTTGAGAGGAAAATATGAAATATGTTAAAATAATTGAATTGACATTTTGAGCATTGATTTTTTTAATTTATTAGGAGCGGTAACTAGGGATAAAAATAGAAAAATCATATATTTACATATATTTAGAGATTTCCCCAGAGAGAAATATTCTTGTCAGAAAATTCAATTGTCTAATGTGAGATTCGGTATTATTTTTTTCTTTCTTTTGATGTATTCTTTTGTGTCTATTATTCACTTATATTCAATAAAAATCAGTTGAAATAAGGTAAAATGGCAATATTTCTTTCCTTTGAAATAATATATTTTTCTAAAAAAAAATTAAATTAATTTAATTTACGTGCAGTGGAATAAATATTTTCAATTTTATATTTAACTGATGGTAAATTTCAATTTGTGATTTTATTAAGTATATGTGAGAGTGTTTGTTTATGACCGTCCTTAAGGTTGTCGATATTGCATTTCAAATCGACATGATTGATTTTAAATTATATTTTGACTTGCATTAAAACAATAAGTACGTGACAATTATTTGAAATTTTATTCTTATTAAATCCTTTCTGGTGAATATGTGTGCATTATGTGCAAATACTTCCGTTTAATTAGTATAATTGAAATTCTCAAATAAATATGTATAGTCTTGTTTAAATTTTAATTTTAATTTACAAAATCCAGATTATCTCCTCGATGCCATATCAGAATTTATTAATGGTAATAATTAATTTTATTTCCAGTTCTGTTTATTATTGATAATTAGAATATTGTTAAAAATAGAAATTTTTTTTTAATTTCACTGACAAGTATAATTAGTAAATTATCAACAAAATTTAATCAAATTGTTACAAATTCTCCTGCATGAAATTTTACTTAATCATTGAGTAGAATAATAAAAATTTTGAACACGTAAAAATTCTTCCTTCCGGACAATAAAGTTGTTGGGGTTGAAGTGATAAAATTTAATAGCAAGATAAAAATGAAAGTCATACATAATTTTTCAAAGACAAAAAAGATAAATTGCTTCTCTAAAAAATTCATAAATTTAACGTAGTTTATTTTTATTTATCTGATGACAGCATGTTTATAATATGTATATAATCGATAAATTGTTTTTCTTTTTTACTAAATGATGTACCAAAAATAACAAAAATTCATGATAAGAAATTTTTTTTTTCAACATTCTCGATAAGAAATAAATTAGAGATTTCACGTATAGTATTTCCATGTAAAAGTAATAGAGGGATTGTAATACAGAAAAATGGCCCCCATGAGATTCTTTATTATGTCACTCGATTTCGATTTTCTTTGTCAGTAATTTCCGTTTCCGTACAGTTCATCCGCTATTTCCGTATTCTCTTTTTCTTTTAGAATTTTTTTGAAAAGAACATTAAATTTTCTTCTATAGTGGACAAAATTAAATTTTAGCATTTAATTTATTTAATAGATTTCGAAAGGTAAATGACCCAAGCGAGTGTTATAACATGAACATGAAGATATAATTTATGTAAGAATAAAATTTTTGATAAAAAATGTACCCATAATTTATACAAAAAATTTTTGTAAAATTTACAATATTTCTGGTATCTGGTAAATGTTTTTAAAGCATTTTGTAAATTTTATCGAAAAATTTATGAAATTTTCTAAAACATTCGTAAAATCCATCATGGACTTAAATAGTAAAAGAAGAATAAATGGAAAGAAATTTATTTAAAAAGGTTTTTTCTGAAGATTTATGAATTTGCATTTTAATTTAAATACATAAGTTTTCAAACATACTCTTTGTTGAAAGACATATCATTATACTGCATTATGCAAATGTTGATATCAGTTTCTTCAAAAATTCATAAATAAATAATAAGAAATCCATTAGACTTGAGTCACAGAATATATACAGACGATATAAAATATTAATTTTAGGATGTTACGTGCATTAAAATATTTGTAGTTCTAAAAAGAATAGAAATCTTCTTAGTTTTAATTATTTAAAAATTTCCAGTGACTTATTTTAGAAGAGAAAATTTTCTTCTAAATGAAGAATTTATTGTTTTGAGTTTTTAATTACATCTATTGCACGACAATTACAAGAAAGAATGTTCACTTGAAATACTGGAGAAAAAATGTTCTCTCTACTTTTTTCAATGTTTCTAGGAAAAAAATTTTAATTTCTTAAAATTCTCAAAGAATTCTTTTATCTGTGCTTAATTAAGTTTTCATTCTAGGATGCTTTAAGTTAATTTCTGGTAGAATAAATGACATTTTTCAAGGAAAGTTCAGTGGCTCAGGAAGGCAGTGATAACATAAGAGTAATTTATGTGTGGAATGAGATGAGATGTAGTACAATAGTTGTGGTTAAGAGAACGTTAAATCTCGCTTAGACCTGTCACGCGGAAATGCAAGCTCAACTCAAGTGATGTATAACTTTAATTTCAACATGGCAAGGTTACGAGCTTTCTCTAGTCTAACAAATTTTTTTTTCAAAGTTCACTAATTTCTAATATAAAAAAACTTATCCATATAACGATGAAAAATAACACTAAATTCGACCAAAGAACAAAATAGATATATTCTTTTTAACTTTCTTTTTTAAATTAGATCCTCTTTTATAAAATCCTATTCAGTAATTAAAATTATACAACATAATATTCTAATTTTAATAATTGATTAATAATTTGAACCAAATTTTAGAAATTTATCAATTATTTTTCTCTTTATACGACGAAATGTTATAAATTGCTTTTGTGCATTTGAGTAGCTTGCCTCTTTTCATTTTCTACGTTGACGTCGTGACGTTTAATTTTAATTAAAAGTATAGAGAAAAATTTATCGCAATTAAGAGACGATAAAATTTAAATCCCCCCCCCCCCTATAAAAAAACAAAAATTGATACCAAAAATACATCGTAAATTTTATGAAATTTTAACAAGAATTGCTATCATCTCGTTACGTTTTGCACCATTAGTGATGAACCTCCACTAATTTAATTGTCAATTAAATTAATGAGTGACTATATCCTATATAAAATGTATATTACTACATTAACTTTATACATAACATTGAGATGATTTTTTATTTTTGAAACAAAAAAACATTTTTTTATGGTTCAACAGAATTATTTCATAATCTCTGAAAAATGTGAACGAAACGCAATTTTTTTTAATTATCAAAAATTTAGTTTCAATAAAAGAAATTCAAAAAAATAACAAGAATACCTCAATTTTATATATGTGTGTATTTTCATTTATATTTTTTATTTGTTATATCCAGTATTATTTAATAACTCACACAGTTTATTTATTTGAAAACAAATACCAATTTTTATTTTGAAGAGAAAATAAAAGTTTTGCATGAAAAATACAAATTTTCAATAAAATTCTTCCTCTATTGTTTACATTCCAAAAAAAAATATATAAATACATGTTTTCGTAGTATGTATAAATTTTATTGATTTTTAACAGACTTGTATCTTATGACATTCATTTAGTATTCCATTAACGCCAACCACGTGAATTTTCATCCTTATAAACTGAAAAAGCTACACGAAAGCTTTAAAAATTTATTTCTGACTCACCTCTTTTTTCGATTGACGTAAAAATCGGAAATCACTATATTTTTCCTGCCGTATCTCATTTTATTTTATAACGTATATATGTTGTAATAAATTAAGAGAATTTATTTTTAAAAATAAATTTATTCTATTTTATCTATTGTTACTTTTTTATTTGAAATAAAACATTTTCTATTTTTGTAATATATTTTATGTAATTAACATCAAGTAGTTATTAATATTTGCTGTTTGATTAAACTTAATATAAAATGTTTAAAATGTAAAATGAATTTCGAAAGTTAGTGTATCGATGCGAAGAAAAGTTTCAATAATTAAAAGTTTTCTTAAATTAGCAAAGTACATTAATAAAGTTGATAAAATAAAGTCCAATTAAACACTAAAAACAAAGTTATAAAGCACATTCAGCTGAGAAGTGAATTGCCTTAAGGGGGATATCTGATTGTCCTGACTAAATCAAATGCTTCTTATTTTTCTCTCTCGAAATTTTGTGATATATTTTTTGAAGATGGCTTTTTGTTTTCATAAAAATATAAACAGTATGCGAAAATATTTTCTTTAAGAACTAGCCTTTTATGTTTATAAACAAAAAGACTTTTTAAAAAATATATCACGGATTTTAAGTCGAAAAACTAGCATAAAAAATCAGACATGAAGCAAAGAGAAATTTTTCAAAAAAATTTGTCACTGGTTGTAAATAATTTGTACTAATTTTGCATTTTGTTTTTTTATCTATTTTCCAAAGTGAAATTAAAATAAATCAAAAATTAACAAAGAGGCAGTAAATTTTTGAAAGAAAATATCCTGTTTATTAATAAATATCACTGCAAAAATTAAGTATCTTAAAAGTAACTTTTTAGTCATTTTTAAAATACTTCTATTTGCTATAATGTACAAAACCTGAAACAGTTGTTTCTAAGTTTGTTATAAAATTTAATTCATTGTAAAAAATTGTTACAACCAATATTTGCTTACTATATTTTTGAATAATTTACAGATGCAATGATGAAAAATTGAACAATCGATTCAAGAAAAGCATAAAACAAATAATAGAATTTTTTTCGTACAAACCTGTACGAAATGCTGAACACTCTCCAAAAGCATCCCATACATCTTCCTTTACTTTCAAAGTCAATTCTATCTAAATAACAAATTTGTTTGTTTCTTGAAAATTTTCGTTGAAAAATTAAAAAAAGAAGTAAAAAAAGTCGCTTTGTTATAACAATAGAGCCGAAAATTTTTCACACATCTGTTTCACGCAACTGTCGCGAATTGAATAACAAGTTTCGCGCCATTGTACTTGAAAACCTTATGGGTTTCGGACAGTTCGTATTAGTTCGTACTACTTCGACTTTTAACCGGAAGGAAGAGTGGGAAGTTCTTACTCTTCAACGGCACAAGAAACTTTGACTTTCTGTGATACTGCGCGGGTATCTTCGTAAAATACATATAGGGGTAGCGACAATATATCCACTTGCTCAATGCGTGCGCACACTTTCTATACATATATATATATATATATACAATATAATGAGAAGAAAAAGAGCCGCCAGTTCTTTTTTTTATTCCCATAACTCTCATTCGGAAAAGTTGAAAAGTCATTAGGCTTTCTCGCGGGATTAAAAGTTTGGTTATTGACTTGTTAAGCTTAGCCGAAAAATAAGGTCATTTACCGTCTAAATGATTAGAAGAAAAAGAAGAGGAGTTAATTTTTTTGTTCTCTCTATGGAATACTTTCTTTAACCATAGTAACAGTCCCTAAAAGTGGTGAGAGATAAAGTTTTTCAATTTGAGACGTTTTTCTCTTAGGTAAAAAGAATTTGAGATAAAGTATTCTCGGAATACATATAATTCTTTATCTTTTTTTTTTGATAAAAGTTGAATTTGTTAGAAAATTTTTTATTGATTTATAACTGTAGAGTTTAGTACTCAAGGGCAAAAATCATGACCTTATGGTTATAATTTTTGCCCAATGTTATATTTGGGAGTAGGAGGATAAAATTTTTACAGCATTAATTATGTCCACCTTAAAACAAAATTGTCTGGAAATATTGCTGCAACGTTAATTGTTTCAACTCTTACCTTAGAATATGTTCAATTTAGGTATTTTTATTTTTAAAAAAATCTGAACAAAATTCTCCATAATATTGATGACGTAAATTTATCAAAAATAGTTAAATTTCCTGTAAGAAAATTTGGGAAATTTTACACCATAATAAACTTGACGAAATTTTTCTTTACAATACTTGGAAGCTTTTCTTTAGAAAGCTTTGTCAATTTCAGGCTTCGAAGTCTAGTAGCAGGTCAAAAAAAGTGTGAAAAAGTAGCATTTTGGAAGAAAAAAGTGTCCTCTAAATTGAAAAAAAGTAGCAAAAAGTAGCATATTAAAAATGAAGTAAAATTAGTTTTTTAAGTAAGAAAATTAAGTGAATATATGTTGTTGTCCAAAAAATTGAAAGAAAAAAATACTAAAAATAGGAATTCACAAAATTTTTTTTTAATTTTGATTTATAAACATAAAACTAAACATAAAACATGAAAATATAATAGCTTTTTTGTCGATATTTTACATTGGAAAGTTTTATTTACATAATAAAATGTAATTGTTAATAATACTGAAATAAGATCTTTCATAAGAATTTGTTTTTTAATAACAGGCTCATAATTTTGAGAAGTTAAATTGACACCTTCTTTCTCCTTATTATTTTTTAAAAAACTATCAATAACTTTTTATCAGCCATCTAATTTTTAAAAATGAAACGTAAACATTTTTTAGTAATTTACTAATAACAGATATCAAAATGAAAAAAATGGATTGTTTTTAGTCATATAAATTTTTTAAATTTTAGAATCCACATAGCCATAATTTTGTACAATAATAAATTACGAGCAATTTAATTCCAATAAAAAAAATTATAATTTTTTTTCTAGATAGATCTTAAATCTTTATAAATGATTTTTTATTATTGAACAACCGAGTTAAAACACTGTATTATTGAAAATACAATTAATATTTTTAAATTTGACATAAAGTTTGTAAACATAATATAATAAATAATCACGTTAAATAAATATTATTTTGGATTTTTAATCAAACAATTTATATAACCAAAAGAATTAAGTTTTCATTCTTAATTGATTTTTTCTATACTTGATGAAACTTTTATAAAGTCAAAAAAGGTATTACTATTAAATTATATAGTGAAAAATGAAAAATTTAGTTTTTACTTTTTTTAAGAAGCTTAAAGAATAATAAAATTAGATACGAAAAATTCGAAACGTTAAAAATTTGTAATTTAATAAACATCCACTATTAGTAATTATTATAATATATTATAATCACGCGTCCAATAATAAATTTAATTCATTTGGCGGGTTTTTTGAAATCTACGAAATTCACCAAAAAAACTAAAATTCTTGAATTCTGTAAATTTTTTTTTACATTTTTTGGAAAAAAGTAGCATTTAGTAGCTTTTTGCCAAAATAAGTAGCAAAAAGTAGCTTTTTGACAAAATAAGTAGCAAAAAGTAGGCTTGACCAAAAAAAGTGTCAAAAAAGTGGAAAAGTGTGTCACTTCGAAGCCTGCAATTTATTTATTTGAAAGTTTCGTGAATTTTCACCAAGATAACAGAGGATATTTTCGATAGCGAACTAAGAAAAATTACGCTAAGAATTTTGAGGAATTTTTGACATAAACCCGAGTACAAAAATGTTTGTTTCCTTAAAGCTGTCGCCAGATGTCAGACTTAAGGCTCGCTCAAGGCTCAAAGCTCACTGATGACTCAAGACTTTTTTATAGCTAAAAATCGTTTAAGACTTAAGATTGACCTAAGACATATGGCATGCTCAAAGCTCACATAAAGTTCAAAATTTGCTTGAAGCTAAAAACTCATCTAAGATTTAAAATTTGCTTAAAATATAAGATTTGCTTAAAGCTCAAGTCTGGATTAAGCTAAAAATTCGTTTAAGATTTAAGGTTCATGGCTAACTTATAATAAAGCTTAACACTTGTCTCTAATGCAATCTTAATTTCTAAACAACATTTTAGCTTAAAGCAAGTCTTGAGCAGTGAGTCTTTAGCAGGTCTTAAGTCTTCGAGAAAATATTTAGCTTAAAGAAAGTCTTAAGTTTTAAGTGAGCCTTAGACCATGAGGGAGTCTTAAGGGGGGAATCTGGTCAAATCGATGGTTTTTTCCAAAGTGTTTTTTCTAAAGATATAATACATTTTTAACTATACATGTAAAGGAACATATTCAGAAGAGAATTTAAACAAAAAAAAATTAATTTAAATTTAAATTTAAATATATATATGTCGTAGGCAAATAGAAGAATCCGGCAGTAAGCCTACTTCCTAGGTAGTAAGCTTGCTGCCGGCAATTAGACAAATGATTAAATAAAAGATTAAATAAAATATGAATTTATGAAAGAAGTATAATAATGTTTCTTTTCTCTACTTAACAATTATCATAAACTAAATAAAATATTTAATTATTTTGCAAGGTTGAAAGAAAATAGATTAATTTTTTTCGCAATAATCTACTTTGGTTATCTATACTCAAGAAATTACATTTATAGTATGTGTTTACAAGTAAGTGTTAGACAAAAAGTAGCAATTCAAAACATTTCTTGTAATTAGATTAAAAGAATATACTTTAGCCGTAATTCAAATTCGTGTACTAATAAATAAAAACATAGCACTAAAAATTTTAAATGTAAAAAATACCCAATTTAAAAATAATTTGACATCACTTCAATTATCAGAAGTTTGATACATAAATAAAAATTATTATTAATAATTATTAATTACACAGTAAAAAGTAAATCTTAATTTAAGAGCTGCCTTAAATTCAACACTATCTGCTATAATGTTAAAGGATACAAAAAACGTGCATAAATTCAACATTGACTGTCTTAAAAATGTTGCATCTTAATTTAAGGCAGCTTTCGTGCCTTAAAATAAGATTTTCTTTTTACTGTGTATTCTTTATTAATAAATTCAATGTTTTTATTACATTTCTCCGTATTTTTAAAATAATAATTATTATTGTAATTCACCTATGTGAACTACACATCGTGGATGCTGATGCGAGTCGTCTAAATGCCGAACCCGCATCAGTCAGTAGGCCTATACTGCCCGGCAGTAAGCTTACTGCCTAGGCAAATAGATGAATCTGAACGACTTCGTTGTGCATTTGTCTAATTGCCGGCAGTAAGCTTACTGCCTAGGAAGTAGGCTTACTGCCGGATTCTTCTATTTGCCTACGACATATAGATATAGTACTGACAAGTCAACGGGGCGATAAAATCGGCGGGAGCTCTGGAGTTCACAAAAATGGTCTAAAACATAAAATCGAAGAAGTTTCGGTTAATACATAAAAAAAATGAGGATGAACCTCTAATATTTATGAATTTTTTTATAAAAAAGAGTTAGAGCATAATGAATGACAAAAATCTATGTCATTTCTATGTGAGAGTGATGCCAATACCAGAACTTTACTTTCAGTTATTGTAAATAAATAATTTATTTACAAGAATTGTTTACAACTTTGTTAAAAATTTTAGAATTAAATTTAAGTTTCAAGATATATATGAACCCTATAGAAAAAAGGATATTAAAAGAAAAAACTGTCTTTTTATATTCAATTGTTGTTAAAATGTAACTTCTTAACAAAAATTAAAGCGTGGAACAGATAACTGCCTGCAACGCATGGTCGAAAGGGAGTATATCAGTCAGACATCAGTGAGAGGCCTAGAGGCGCTCAGTATTGTCTGACTGCATGTCACTTTCGACCATGCGTTGCAGGCAGTTATCCGTTCCACGCCCTCAATTGTTTATAACTTAAATGAAAAATATTTGTAGGTAAATTAAAGTTTCAAGATTCATTAATCCTATAGAAATAAAATAGTAAAGGAAAAAACGAAATTTTTACATGTTTACATGCTTACTCATTACTCGAGGGTTTTTGGAGTCGCTGCTATTACGAATCCAATGTGAATTTTCTAAAATTTAAAATGGCGGATCCAATATGGCGGTCTTTTTAAAAAAATGTTATCGGTTTCGCTTAAAAGTTATTACTCGTAGGTTTTTGGGATCGCTGATTACGAATATGATGTCAGATTTTTAAAATTCAAAATAGTGGATCCAATACGGCGACCAAAATTTTTAATGTTGCCAGATTTGTCTAAAATGTTTACTCGAGGGGTTTTGGGGTCACTAAATTAAAATTTGCTCGACATATTGGATCAGCCATTTTAAATTTTGATAAACTGACACCGGATTCGTAATCAGCGATCCCAAAAACCCTCGAGTAATAAGTTTCAAACAAATCCGATAAAATTTAGGAAAAAAGTCCGCCATACTGAATCCGACATTTTCAACTTTGGAAAACTAACATTGAATTCGTTAT